GACCTTGTCCTAGACACTAGAAAGTCAGATGCCTGCCTCGTGACAAGGAACCAATCAGAAGTTAGCTGGTGGCGCTATGCTTTACGACCCTGGGTGTGCTTTACAGACAAGCGCACAGCAATGACACACAAAGCATAACAACCACCCTGGGAGGGCCTATGGGCCATAACAACCAGTTGACCAATCAACACAGGGCAAGCCCTCCAAGCCTGGAGGCACACCAATCGTGAGCCTGTGCGTACCCCTAGACACTCCCCTTACACTGTCCTATAAGATCTCTTGGGAGGCCCTAGGAGCTGTCTTTTGCTAGCTGTCCGCCATGGTGGGTGGGTGAAAGACCCGAGCTAACATGGGGTTAGCTCGTTAAATTACAATAAAGCCTTGTGCAGTTTGCAGCAAGCTCTCGAATCTGCCTGGTGATTGGGGTGACCGAGAACGTGGCCTGGGACCCCGGATATCTGAGTTTTCTGGGGGTCTAACAGTGTGAAGATACATTGCTTGATGGTTTAAAAGAGAGCTGAACAGCCAATAGCTAGACAAGAGGTATAGGAAGGACTTCTGGGTAGAGAGAGGAAGTAGGAGGAGATAACTGAGTTGTGAGGGACATGCCAAGAGACACGTAGAGGAAACAGGAGTTGCAAGCTGAAAGAAAGGTAAAAAGCCACATGGTAAGATGTAGACTAATCAGGCAATGTAAATTATAAGAGCTGGTAGGACAAGCCTAAGCTAAGGCCAACCTTTCATAATTAATAATAATTCTCTGTGTTGTTTGGGGGGAGCTGGCTGTCAGGGCAGAGGAAAACTCATTACAAAAGGTTTTATTTGGCTTTCACTTCATCATTGTTCTTCATCACCAAAGAAACTCAGGACAGGAACTCAAACAGGGCAAGAGCTTGGAAGTAGGACCTGATGCAGAGGCCATGGAGAGGTGCTGTTTTCTGGCTTGCTCCCCATTGCTTGCTCAGCCTGCTTTCATATAGAACCCAGGACCACCAGCCCGTAGATGTCCCCACCCACAATGGAATGGCCCCTCTCCCATTGATCACTAACTGAGAAAATGCCTTGCAGTGGGTCTCTTGGAGGCTTTTCATTAAATGAGGCTCCTTCCTTCATCTCTGATGACTCTAGCTTGTGTCAAGTTGACACACAAAACCAGCGAGTACAATGGAAACCCTGTCAACTTGACACACAAATGCATAACAATTAAGCCACAACCCTTCCTTTCTTATTCATCCCAAAGATCTCACATTGAAATCATAAATAATTTTAAAAGTCCCAGCTTTTACAAATCCAAACATATTAAAGTTTCAGTCCTTTTAAAATATCCAATATCTCTAAAAATAAAATCTCTTTTAAAAGTTCAAGTCTTTGATCTATGGACTCCTTTAAAATTCAAAATTTATTCTAAATTAAATATCTTCTTCAAGAAGGAGAAATCAGAGCACCATTACAATCTGAACCAAGCAAAACAAAACTCCAACAGTATAAATAACTCAGTGTTCAATCATCTGGGATTCACTTACAATCTTCTTGTCTCCTCAAAGGGCTTGGGACACTTTTCAAGCTCTGCCCTCTTCGTGCACAGCTTGTCTTCTAGGTTCCAGCTAGCTCCACTCCAGTGCTGTTACTGTTTTGATGGTCATCCTTTGGTACTGG